GGCTCCCCCGAACGTGCCTGCTGGTCAGACAGCGGCCCGCTGAGCGGGGAGGAGGGTTACGAGGGCTGGGGGGGCGGTCCGGCTCCCCATTGTGTAGATGGGAAAACTGAGGGTCCGGCCGGGAATCCTTATATGTGGTAGGGGCAGCTTCGTCCCTCGTTTAATTCGGGGTTGGGTATTTCTCCTGGCAGCCTCAGGATTGGCTCTGCAGACTTCTGTCTACTGAATGCCCCAGTTTGAAGACAGTACTGTTTTTACGCAGCAATCAGTTTAGGTTTTTGGCCTCCAGAGATAGGAACTCTCGAAGTTCTGAACTAACTGGACTTGAAATACTTTCAAAAGTGTTTGTTTGTTTTTTAATTAACATCTTGGGATGGTGTTAACTCCGGAAATACTCTTGAAAAATCCAGTTTTCAGGTTGAGACGATGGGCAGGGGTGGGGTGGGGACCAAGGGTGACTCCGTGCCCCTTCTGCACCGAGAGCTCTGGCTGGTTTTTCCTCAGAGTCCAGGGTTGTCTTTATTTCCATTCTCGAAACAACCACTTGGCTTTCACAGTTGTTTTGCCAACCTGGTTCTTCCTTCCCTTAGCGGGCATTTACCATTGCCGCCTCCTGTGCCATGCACTGGACTGGCTTGACATCAAGGGCCTGGACACGGTCTGTCAGACATTGTCTAGTGGAGAGACAGGCAGGAAAATAGCAACAACTCTGCATGATACGTTCAGTGAAAGAGGACAAAGGTGGGAGCACAGGAGCACCTCCTCTACCCTGGGCGCCATGGCAAGCACTGGGGATCTGAACTGAGTCTCAGAGGTCACTAGGCCATGGTTGGTTTGCAATTCCAATTAGAAGGATCTGGCTATACCTGGAAACAGGGAGCTGGGCACAGTATGGTTTGTCTGGGGTTCCTAAGCAGTTTTGGTTGTGAGGAGTGAGGTGAGGCAGACTGGGAAAGATGGTCCTAGGCAGGGCCAAGGCCATAGCACACACCATTGGGCTCCATGCCAGGTGCCTGCTGTACTCTTTTGCAGAAATAGACGAGTGTGCCCAACGGCTAGATGACTGCCATGCCGAGGCCCTGTGCCAGAACACACCCACCTCCTACAAGTGCTCTTGCAAGCCTGGCTACCAAGGGGAGGGCAGGCAATGCGAGGGTAAGTGATTTGGGGACCATGGCAAGTGGGCCAAGCAGGGCAGCTTTTTCAGCCATAGCTTGCCATCTACGTTGGTAAAAGTTCTGCCTCAGCCCGTGAATTACATCACTTGCTCTTTGAAATGCATTTCAGACCCTTAAGGAATGGACATATTAGGTCTTTCCCAGGGCTGATCATGGATTTTACCTGGCTCTGAAACGTCCTTTTGTCTAACTTTTAGAAAGCAAAAGAGGGGCTGTAGTATCTTTTGGTCCCATTTCATTTGGGGGCAGAAAGCAAACAGCCGTGCTCACCAGGAAAGCTGCGGCTGCCAGAGCCAGGCAGATCCTGCATCCCCAGGGCAGTTTGCACCCTGACTCTGAAGACTGAGCGCTAGAGTCCTGTCCTCTCCAGCGGGCTCTGGAGGCTTCATCTTGTCCATGGTTTGGGCTATCTGTCACTGGGATGTGCTGAGCGTTAGAGCTACTTCAAGGGCCTGTCTCATTTGAGCTGAAAATTCAGCCTGGAAGACATGTGCAGAGGGATATTTTAACCCTTAGAGTTTCAGATCTAGGAGTGTGAGGTCTGGACTCCACCCACGGGGGATTAGCTCAATGTCCTGAACTCTGAAGGTTAGAGTGGGCCGGAGCCTGGGCCCTCACTGGAGGAGGAGAAGGCTGCTGGGGTGGAATCATGGCATCTTGAAGTTGGCAGAGGGCTCTCAAGGGGGCTCTGGGTCAATCCATCACTTATTTTACAGATGGACACTGAGGCCCAGGGGACTTGTGGCTGTGATCACACAGTTAGTCTATGACAGAAAGTGAGGCCTCCACCCCAGCTCTGTCCTAGACCCTCCTCCCTCCTAGTCACTCAGCCTGCTTCTGCTCCTCATTGATTGGGTGAGAAGTCCTACTGTTTATATTACTTATAATCATATTGTGCAGGAAGAAGCTTAAAGTTGATAAGGTGCATTGAGCGCATCTCTGCAGCCCTCTCCTGCCTGTGGATCCGACATTGACAAGCATATTTTAACAAATCCCTATTTTGGTTCTCTTTAGTGAGCTAGTGTTCATATCCTAATGTTTCAAACCAATGTGTTTCATCTCCTGGCCTCTGAGTCATAAAGGTTCTTGGTATTAGAACAGTGTGTTATGTCTGGTTATGGTAAACACTTACTCTTGTTTTTCAATAGATGAGCATGTCAGATGGGCTCAGTCACTGGCAGCACCTTGACACAAGGTCTCTTCCAACAAATATACAAGTCTACAGATGAAATATCTGGACTCAGAACGCGCAGATGACAAAATATGTGGGTGACTGTCAGATGTTTTTGTGGTGTTGTAGCAATGGCCCAATCTCTCTACCCCCCACCTCCTGGTCTTCCACAGCTGAGACAAGCTGGGATTTAAAAATGAACTTTGTTTAAAAAGGAGACAAGACCAAAAGGAAATAGAGACAGGAAATAGGAATAACACATGGGATTATGTTGAGCAAATTCAGATCTTGCGGCAGGTAAAAGATGCTCCTTGGGAATTCATTTGGGAACGTCTCCTTTGGGACAACTCCTGTCTTTCCCATCAGAGGAGGCACACGTGTTTCTGGTCAGGTTCACAGCCAGTGGAGTTGGTGGTTCCTCCTCCTCCCGAAGCCCTTGTGTTTCTCAAGCCAAGTTTGATTTTTCCCACAGACAGGCGGCTATCTCTCTCTCTCTCTCTCTCTCTTCCCTCCCCAAGTGATGGGAGGCTAAAATGCTTTCACTCACAAAAATCCAGAAATATCTCTGGAGCCACTTCATCCTGCACCCTTTCTGAGGTAGTTGTTCTATTTGCATATGTTGGTCCTTTCCTTGGGGAAGAAAAGGCCATTTTTAAAAAACTGTATGGATATTCCAGGACCTCTGGTCTCTGCCTACTCTCTAGGGCACAAAACTCTGCCATTGCTTTCTTTTAGATAAAGTATGTCTTTAGTAAATGATGCTAAGGGCTGGGGATTTAGCTCAGTGGTTCCATGGCCTGCCTTGCAAGTGCAAGGACCCGAGTTTAATCCCTGGTACCAAAAAAAAAGTAAATGATGCTGAGTGAGAAGTGATGTGTTTCCTTACTCTGAGCTCTTGACATCTTACAAATGAAATTGAATTAACCAACATTATATTTGAAAAGTCTACTATTTAGTTTAAAATAACTGATAGGCTGATGTTATATAGGTCTATATATTTAAAATTTGTTATAAAATAATCTATCCTTATTATAAAATGTCAAATACAAAAATGTGTAAGATAGAAAATTAAGGAGCTTCCTATCCTGTTATCCACAGCTAATTGCTGTTAACAGCAAACATATACCTTTTGTGCTGTCATTTTAAACTGAATCACTAGAAGGATTTGATTTTTTTGAATTCTTATAGTATTAACTTAGTGAGCAAAGATATCCCTGTTTAGTTTGGATTTCTTGCTACAGGAGTCCAGAAAAGGAAATTTTATTCAAGAAGTAAAAAAGAGGAAATGAAAATTAGTAGAATTCAAAGATGTACCTCCTTTATCTGTGTGTCTTGGGGTAATGATTTTTAAGCCTCTGGAGTCCTACACATGATATCATTTGTGTTGTGATTATCACCAGTATCATTCCTCATATTTAAATTTAATGATGCCCAGGGTGTCCAAATTTTATCCTCCACAAAGTTTCTTCTACCAAAATATTGGAGAAATGACAAATATGGGCTCTAACTAACTAGCTTAAAAGTAATATGAGTCAGAAATGGCTTCAGATAAGTAATGTTTTATTCTAAATGATTTCTCCTCAGTGGCCAATATTTATTGTATGGTCCTGAATTCTAAATTTAAGGAACCGAATCGCTTTACCAAGGATGAATCTACACTTGGTCTTTGGGTAAGGAGCTACGTTTTCCTTTTTTTGAAAAAGACTTTTCCCCCCAGGGTCGGGGAAGGAGCTCAGGGCTTCATACCTGCTAGGCAAGTGTGGCACCACTGAGCCATACTCCTAGCCCTAAAATCTATTTATTTTGAATTAACTCCAGACTTCAGAAAAGTTGCAAAAACTAGTGCAGAGTTCATATATGGTCTTTACTCATTGTACACTTATGTTATCATCTTTCAAAACTATAGTACGGTTATCAAAACCAGGAAGTTAATTTTGGCACAATATTATTAACTGTAAACATTATTCAGATTTCACCAGGTTTCCCCTGACGTTTTCTGTTCCAGAATGCAGTTTAAGGCCCCTTATTACCCATCTGTTGTGTCTCTCTCAATCTGTGACAGTCCCTCAGTCTTTCCTTGTCTTCCATGACATCAACAACACTTTGTTTATCTTTTGGTTTTGTTTTTTGTGTGTGGGGGGACTGAACTTGGGACCTTGTGCTTGTGAGGCAGGTGGCGTAACCACTGAGCTAAATCCCTGGCCTAACAACGCTTTTGATAGGTACTGCTCTGTTCATTTGTCTTATGTTTTCTCATGATAACAGTTGATATGAGAATGTCTTGTGTTTTCTCATGATAAGATTGGGGTTATGCATTTTGGACAAGGCTTCCATAGAAACCGTGTTGTGTCCTCTGTGTATCACACAAGGGACATGTGGAGTCCCCAGGCCCATTCCTGTTGATGTTATCCTCGATTACCTGGTTATGATGGTGTCTGCTGACTTTCTCCACTGCACAGGTACCGTTTTCCCTCTTTAATAATGGAACTTATTTTGGGGCACACACTTTGATTTCATGCTGATATCCTGTCTGTCCTTCAGTTTTACCTACTATGAGCATCCAGTTATGGACCTTTCCTGTAACCGATACTATGATGTGTACCACTGTTTTGTTTTATTTGCATTTCTCTTATTCTTTTTCTTCCTATACCAGGGATCAAACTCAGGACCTTGTGCTCGCCAGGCAGGTGTAATGCCACCGAGCCAAATCCCTGGCTTCCCTTATTTTTTATACATCTATTAATGGAGGTTTTTCTGTAAGGAAGATATGCTCATGTTCCCCCATTTACTTCTTTATGCTTATGTTTATTTATACCACTATGAATCATGGATACTGATTTCATGATATCTATAATTATTTATTTTGGGCTCAAATTGTTCCAACTTCAGTCATTAGGAATCCCTTCCCATAGTTTCCTGTGTCATTTTGGCATTTTAAAAATAGAAATTCCAAATTTCCTAGTACCATATGATAGTGCAGACAGATCTTACATTTCCTGCTCCCAATCTTGGAATCAATCATTTCTCCAGTGGGGTCTAGTTTCTTTGGAAAAATGGTGTAAAAAGCCAAGTCCTGGGTGGTTGGTGGTTGCTTTGCTACCAGGTGTCATTGATCCTAGGCCCTCTCAGTGCACATATGAGCTAGGAAAAGCACATATGTACACCAGTGCATGCAGATATGTGTTTATTCCTTACATTTATTCATCTGTGTATATTAAAAACACTAGGTCAGAGGGGCACGTCAGATTCCATACCGATACTACAAGATTCACTCTAACCTTTCTCCTTGCTTATTCAGAACTTCTTTTTCCAACAGTAGGAAATCTGCCTCTCATTACCAGCAGGCTTTACCTCATCATTCAAGACGAAGTATTTACAGAATTACTGATTCATAACCCTGTGAGACTACAGCACTTACTACCTAGAGAACAGCAGATAGGTCTTTTGCTTTTAGCTGTATAATCTCCAGTCAAAGTGTTGCTTTTCATTTACTTGGTTCGTACTTTTCCCCCATCCTTCAGTGTGGTTATGTTTATTAATTTACAATGTCAGGCTTCATTTTTTTTTTTTTTTTTTTTTTTTTTGGTACTGGGATCGAACTCGGGTCCTTGCGCTTGTGAGGCAGGCAGAGGAACCGCTGAGCTAAATCCCCGGCCCAGTTTGTTCAGTGTTTAATCCACTCTTGTCTCCTCCCACCCTACCTCCTGGTCGTTGATATCGTGTATATGCATGTGGATGTCCGCATGTGTGTAAAACATCGCCTTGGTTCTGAGAGTCAGGCTACACGAGGCGGGGTCCTCAGAGAG